TTACCTCATCATTCATCACCCAGCCACCACCAACAATTTCCAACTGCCCATTCTTCACTAAATTGATGAACGACTCTCTTTTGGTATCTGAAGCATCCCTCCACCATCTCTCCAGATAAGACATCTCTTCCCAAATAAATTTTCGCCGACTATCCTGTACAATCCGATCATAGATAACAGCAAATAAACAGCAGACTCTAAAACTCGGTAAACCAATAACTCCGCTATATAGTAAAGGTTGATGATAAAACCCCTCAATAATTACCACTAACAGCGCACTAGAATCGTATTAGAAGGCCATTAAATATCATTTGTTCTTGTTTTTCTTTCTTTTTCCTACTGGCACCAAAACAGCATGGCCCCCAACTCCAAACTGAATTAGAGTCATGAAATGAAAACCAACCAAAATTGTAAGCTGCCGTTTGGCACAAGCATTAGTATTAGTATTACCTTAGACAGCGTCTCCACAATTGTATCCAGAATATGCCTAGACTGCCTATCATAGTACTCCTCGACGGTGAGACGCCAACCAGGATCATTATGCGAATGTGGAACCACAAATATCTTGAGTTTCTCGTTATCCCACTCGTTCCCTTTATAAGTAACCTTCCAGCCTTGCTTCCAGGCCCCGCCATCTTTGTCCAAGAACTGGATCTTGTCGTACAAATCCTTTGTCGTTATGTCCACGACAGCAGCCGAAACGGCGTTGCTGCTGGCAGGCGATTTGCGGTAAACGGGCTTTCGGGTCCTGCCGGAGAACCGGGTTCGGGCAGCCCCGAGGTGGGAGGAGAGAAGGGGTTTAGGGAAGCCGTAGCTGAAGACAATGAGGAGGAAGAGGAGAAGAGAGACGGAGAGTCCGATGGTGAAGAAGTTGGCGAGGATGAAGTCCTTTAACGCCGTGCGCCTGCGGGATTTGCGGGGTTGTTTTGCGGCGTGTTTGGTGGTTGATGGGAGAAAAGAGTGGGCCCAGCCGCCTCCGCCGCGGCGGGAGGAGAAAGCCATCAGGAAGCAGTGGTTACGAACCGATGATGGTGGTGGTGGTAGTGGAGATAGATCTCAAGGAAGACGACTGTCGAGTGTCGACTTGTCGAGTCTATGTTATGCAACGAGAACACTGGGAAATAGTCCAGCAATCTGGTCATGGGCGTGGGACCACAGTTCTTTTTTCCTTTTTTTTTTTTTTGAGTCTTCTTCTAAGTTAACAATACAAAATCGATGGGATTATCAAATTGCGAGCAGATATTAACCAGTTTGGAGTCGACGATTTTTCTTGTATTCGTAATTTGTACTAGAATTTATTTCCCCCCCCCCCCCCCCGGCAAAAATAAAAGGCTGTAAAACATGATGACCTTTTTCTGGTAAAATATGAACCGCCTTCGGGTACATTTCTTCTTTAAATACCAGCGTTTTGAAATACGTGGTTATGGGTACGGTGCAAATAAAATAATATTTTCAAATAATTGACTATTCAATACATCCAATCAGCTAGCAACTATGAGAATTTTAAATGTTCATTTGGATGTAGGTCAAGAGATTTCTTGATCTGTATTTCAAAAAATTCAGGCTTTTCAGTGGGTTTGTAGGCACTCGTCTCGGAACATCTTTCGATCTCCTTCCTCTAATATAGAGTATAAGTAGGTTTAGAATAATTCTATCGTATTCAATAAAAAAAAATACATCCAATCAGTCAAAGGTGCAAATTGCATAACATTTTGTTTCAAGGGATGAAGCACAAATTAAATAAAAGTTCAAAAGAATTAAGTGTGTTTAAACTTAGGGCAAAAAACCTCAACGATAAATCAAACTATTTTTTTTGTTTCGATTCAACCACTCAACTAACTAATCGGTCCACTCGTGACTATTTTGTCGAATTTTGCTTTTAATCTACAAGCTAAACGTGTCCACTAAACTTTTCAACTCAAAGAAAAAAATTTTAACGTCTGCTAAACTGCTCTAATCATATACTTTTAACTGCTCAATTATTTTTTTTTATTCAAAATGATCACTCGACTCACAAATACGTATATCAGTGGCCATTTTGTTCAAATTCGGTGTTAAATATAACAAAATGAATGCACATGCAAAAAATCATAAATCTTAGATAAGGCAAAAATCTTAAATTTAGCCATTGAACCATACAAAACAACATATTCTTAGTAATCTTTGTTCAAATTGGATACTCAACTCACCAAAATAGTATATTAACGAGTTTTCATTCAAAATTTATCATTAGATCTACTATTTTCATTCAAATTTCACGTTCTTGGAAGCAATACATAATAACTTGAATATATAATTTAGACTTTTTGTCAAAACTTATAAATTAGAATATATTAAAGCAACTACTCATTTTTTAAATTTTATTTTTGTTAGTTAAAAAAAATCAAAACTCTAGCTGAAAAAAATTTTAAAATTGATCATATGAAATTGTCCTTGTTTTTTGTAGATGAAATGCACATAGAGCTCATTCCGTTAGCGTTCATAGAAACACTTGACTAAATGACCTAGTATGTAGATTTAAGAGTTCAATGACTATATTGAAATAAAAAAAAAAATTTATTTGAGTGATCAAAAGTGTACTAGTCATTGGAGTTTTCGGATTTGGATTGAGAAGTTCAGCGGACATATTTGATCTTAAATTTTGACATGTGACTTGCATGTGTTAGGTTTATTTCGTAAATTATGAGAAAAACTCATGAAATGACCACAAGTATACTAATTAATTAGTTGAATGGCTAAATTGAGATGAAAATAGTTTGATGATTAAAAACTGATGTATAAAATGGCCACCAAGACCTTTTATCCTCAAACTGACAATTTGCAAATTCTCGTAGTTGCATTAAAACTGACAAGACATTTTTACCGTGTTAAATTAAAAAAATAAATAAATAGAAAATAGAAAAGCGATATGGGTGTAATGATTAAAACAAAAACAAAATAGATAGTCCCGGTTGCGCTTTCCCTTCCGATGAGAATCTAAAGCAATCAAATCGTGCATATGTTTCTTTAATTTTAGGAGGGGGCTAAATTAACGCCTTCCATGTTGAGTCCATGTCCTGTACATTTTACTTGATAACAATAATGGCCTTAGCTTTTAAAGTTTATTTGATACTTTTTTTTTATAATTTAAAGAAACATATTTTTACCTAGGGAAAATAGGAAAAACAAAAGTTTGCATTGTAGTGGAGAATATTTCCACACAGTTTACAAGTGTATAACAATATTAATTTCTAATTTAAAATAAACTTAGCAACCTAGAACTTTTCAATTACAAATAACGATGTAAATGGTAGTGTCTATATATTTCAATTGCATAAAATTAAAATCTAGACAGTTTTCAAGGTGGAATATGCAATCATATTGATTTAAAACAAACGCCTCCATTTGGTCACATTTGGTTATGTATAAGTGTTAAAAAAAATTTTAAACAAAATAAAGGTTGTAGGTAATAATAGAAAAAGAGGAATAAACTGGAGCGGCTTTAGAGAAAAATAAATGTTGAAAAAAAAAAAGGAATTTTATATAAAACTCACAATGAAGTATTGCATGTTTTCCTTTCCAAAATTTTTTTTCCCTCTAGAAAAGATATTGCAATATTTGATTTGATGCTTAAAAGTTAAGGGTGCAAGTATCTAACGCATATAAGATGTGAATTTAACCTCTCCCTTAACTTTTTTTATTACTACTGTCTCTTGTGAAAGTACTTTCAGAGGCAAAAGTACTTCCCATTTTTTCCCCCCCTTTTCCATTCTTCTTTTCATGGACACGCAAAATAGCCCACATTCTGAACGCACTTTTAGTTAAATATGGCTTTTGAGCATTTGTTCGACTATAAAGAATGATGCATTAATTACCGATGAAAAGGGGGCTAATTTCTCAGATTATTTGTATTTAAAAAAAATAACCGTCAAATGTACCTCTGACAGGAGTCTTTCTAATTGTATAGCGGCCGTGCTGACTCAGCACGGCCCCGTAACTAAAAATTTGACTAAATATTCTCTGCAAAAAATTCAGTGGTGCCAGTAGATGCCAGACCGGGACGTGCTGACTGGGCACGTCCGGTCAGACCGAAAACGAACTTGATCAGAGCATTTGTCAGCCGGGGACGTGCTTCAAATTAAATTCATCATTATTGAATATAAAATAAGAGTTATCAAATGACTGAATGATGTGGTAATATATGAGTAGATTTGAATCATGATATCTTACCAAAAAAGGACTATAATAGTTTATAAGCAAATACACATAACCTATTTGAAGTATCGGCTCTTTACAGATATTTTATTTTCAAATATTTAATTTATGATAAATATATTAACATTTGTAATTAAAAATTAAAAAGTGTTAAAATAATATTCTTGCAAAAAAAAATCAGTAGGTTATCTATTTAATATAAATTAAATATTTTTTAAAAAATAAATGGCCTCATAAACTATTAATTTTTTATGACTTTCATCCATTACATGAGTAAAGTATTGGCTCTTTATGGATATTTTATCTTGAATCATTTAATTTATGTTAAATACATAAATATTTATAACTAAAATTGAGAAAGTGTTATATTAATATTTCTACGGAAGAAAAACTGGTAGGTTTTGTGTTTAACAAAAATTAAATATTTGAGAGTAAATACAAATCTGTATTTGAGAATAAATATTTGTGATAAAGTAAATATTTGAAAATAAAATTCATGTAAAGAGCCGGTACTTTAAATAGGCAATACGTATTTGTCTATAAACTACGCTCGTTAAAGTTTATTAATTGTTAATTAATTTGTAATACTTTGCCATTCATTAGACATGTAGCACAAAGGACAAATCAGGTACAAAATTCTAATTTCACTCTCTAAAATAATATTTTAATAATTTGGACTGAATTTGTAAAGGATTAGTAACCTCAGGGGAGGTCAGTGTAATTGTTCAAACCACAGGGGAGGTAAGTATAAATGTCAGAAACCTCAGGGGAGGTTTCTGAAATTATCCCAAAAGAAAAAGAAAAGTTAGTACTATAGAATACATTCTATTCCATGTCCAAGCAAACCCTTGAACAATAGAGGTGCAAAGGCGTTTCTTCTGTGTCTCAAATCTCATCAGCTGGGATTCTCTAGTAATATTCCCTAGCTCCTCCCGATCCATCGGAGCCAATACGCTCAGTGCCGGATCCCTATTTTACACCAATTCGCCGGTAAACCTCCATTCCTTCCCCCCACTGATTTCCTTTTATATCTACTTTTTTGGGTTCAAGATCTATATATTGAATGTGTAGATCTTTCCCGTAGATTTAGGTGTCTTAAACTTTGTCTAAATTAAGTTCATGAATAGGGAATTTCAATTCGGATTAGATGACATACCAGTTGTAATCGATTGTACGTTCGGAAACACGGAGATCTTTATAAATTCAGGGGTTGGAATATTTTTTGCGGGCTACAACTAGATCATGCTTAGACGGAAAACTGGTGAATAATTGATCATTTGCTGCTCAAGATAGTTGTTGATTTTAGGCTTACTTATCTTATAGCTTAGGGGCTTTATCCGTCTTTGGTTTCATTTCTTTTATTTATTTATTTTGGTTTGAGTAAAACGGTGAAAAAGTGTTCACAGATTCTTTCTTCGTTTTTTGTTTAATGGACATAATGTATTTTATCCTCAAGGGCATGAGGTATTTGTGGGACGTGAATTGTTTAGATTAATCTAATGATCAGAATGGAACATCTGATTCCAGATTAATGTCTACAATGAAACGTATAATTGCGGATTCATGATAATATTCATTCGTCTTTCTGGGGATTGAGATAACTGGATGTCATTGGGTTAAACTGATTTTCACTGTTTCTTTTTTCTGTCATTAGGATGATGACACTATTGCTTAGGGCTTTTCATTTTGCCAGTAATTTAAGTTCACAAAGCATTCTTCTGTCTACTTTGTCCATCCGTGAGCTTGTACCTTTCATTGTACTCCTTTTCAGGCATACATCGATAATTAGTGCCAATTAATGACCACTGTCACATGACCATGAGTTTCAGCAAAGTATCCACATTGGATAGGATTTTTGGTTAAATCAGTTTCTAGTATTATAGTTCAAATTTGCTAGCCTTTCAGATTTTTTTCGAGCACTTGTAATTTTGAACAAAAAATGCACATTTGATTTTGATCTGTAATTACAGGAGCAGATAGCAGCTGTACAAGTGTGACTTAGAGGAGGTTGCAGACATAAAAATCTAGTGCTAAATTAATCAAGAGGTAATAACATAATGCCGGCACAGAAGATTGAAACGGGTCATAATGACACGGTTCATGATGTTTCTATGGACTACTATGGAAAACGAGTTGCAACAGCTTCATCTGACTCCACCATAAAGGTTATTGGTGTGAGTAACAATAATACTTCCCAGCACCTTGCCACTTTGAGTGGTCATCAAGGTCCTGTTTGGCAGGTTGCTTGGGCACACCCTAAATTTGGCTCACTTCTTGCATCTTGTTCCTATGACGGTAAGGTTATCATCTGGAAGGAAGGTAATCAAAATGAGTGGTCACAGGCTCACGTGTTCAGTGACCATAAGTCATCAGTCAATTCTATTGCATGGGCGCCACATGAACTTGGGCTCTGCTTGGCTTGCGGATCCTCTGATGGAAATATTTCAGTGTACACAGCTAGGTCGGATGGTACCTGGGACACCACAAGAATAGATCAAGCTCATCCCGTTGGAGTGACCTCGGTTTCATGGGCTCCTTCAACAGCTCCTGGTGCTTTAGTTGGAACAAGTATCCTTGACCCTGTTCAGAAGCTAGCATCTGGTGGTTGTGACAATACTGTAAAGGTCTGGAAACTGTATAATGGCATTTGGAAGATGGATTGCTTCCCCGCTCTTCAGATGCATGCTGATTGGGTGAGAGATGTTGCTTGGGCGCCCAATTTGGGGCTTCCAAAGTCCACCATCGCCAGTGCTTCACAAGATGGTACTGTTGTCATATGGACCGTAGCTAAAGAAGGTGATCAATGGGAAGGTAAGGTTTTGAGGGACTTTAAGACCCCAGTCTGGAGGGTCTCATGGTCTCTTACTGGAAATTTGCTGGCTGTGGCTGCTGGAGACAACAATGTCTCCATGTGGAAGGAAGCTGTTGATGGGGAGTGGCAGCAAGTCACCACTGCTGACCAATAGATTTCAGATTACTCTGTTTTGGTACTTTTGTTGGACGACCAGTTCCATAGTTTTTATTTCTTTCTGATTTTGTTTGAGTGGGTGTCATGTGATTACTAGCAGCATTGAGTTAGATTATATGAAAGGAATTGAAAGTTTGAACCATTTCTCATGCGCAATTCATTTGTTTAATGATCTGATTGATATTCTCGCGATCAAAGTTGTTGTGGCTCTATCCTTAATAGTTTTGGGGGCCTTTCCTTTTTGGTTTGGTCAGTGCGCTGTACCGTCGGCTGGATGAATTCGATTACAATTGTTTTTGGGCATATAGATTTATTAATTCAGAGCAATTGACTGGCTCTCAGTGATAGGAGAACTTATTGGCCGATGCACATCTCTTTAGCAGTTGCAAGCGATGCCGTTATTGATTGTTCGAAGCTGTAGACTGTAGCGTTCCATGTAACTTTTGAAATCAACTTTTATCATACAAAAACCACGACTTTGTGTCTCTTAGAAAAGCGAATCAGAAAGGAAAGCGCATTCCTAAAAGCTAAAACTGAGAGGGTATATGCTACTGTTACTGGTAAAAAGCGTGACTCGCGAGGCCGCTTTGGGTTTAGCGCGCTTAGGTTCCAATTTGAAAAAAAAAAAAAGAAAGCAGCAAAGGCTTTTTCCCCGCCCGAATCATAAGGGAAACAAAAGAAGATGAACAAAGGAAAAGGGAGATGCCCCCTCGGCCCTCCCTGCTTCAAATCCTCATTCTCAAACGCTCCTCTGCAATCACATTCTTGTCTTCGGAGACATTATGAATAGCGAGCGTTTGCCCGCCATGGAACTTATCATTTCCTTGTTCCTTTTCAACTTTTCTGTCTCTTACTTGTACAGATGCGTATCCCTCCTCCTCAATCTTGATTCAATGACAGCTTGTATTCGGCGTAAAGGAATGTGGTCCTCGCATGCCTCTCGTGATTCCGAAAGCAAAAAACCCTCCATTTTATTGCCGCAGAGAGAAATCCCTTAGCGCCTTATGCTCCAAGTATGCACCAGTACTATATCTTCTGCTCACGTGATCATCGTATAGAACTAATTTTGCATTTTTTTTTTCTTGTTCTCAATAACAGCTTCTTGAAGCAGTACAGCAAAGACGGTGTTGACTCCACTGGAGTAGATCATGCTGCCTTTCAATTAGGCAGTCTTGTATTCATCTCCTACGTTTTCAGTTTTTCCACTCCATTTTTTCGTTTTCCTCTTTCGTCTCCAGGTAAAAATACAGACGGACCGAAAGACCTTTTCTTCTGAATGTGATGGTATCGCCTCTTTATGCGGTTGTTTGCAGGTGTTGAGCGGAGGCGGTTTATGATGTCGTCAATATACTGGAGAGTGTTGGGGTAATTCTTTTCAATCTAACTGGTTTATTCGTATTTCTTTCGCTGATCTAAGCTGGAGTTTTTTTTTTTTTTTTTGTAATTTGAAGGTTTTAACTCGAAAAGCTAAGAACCATTACTCCCGGAAGGGTTTCTGATTTCAAAACACCATAGCTTGACTTTTATTGAGAATAATAATCGAAAATCCTTAGCAGTACACTACAAAGGCTCGAGTTACAAACATGTATTGAAAAGTGATTGTGTCCGCTTTTATTAGTGTTGTTTTCTTTTTTTCTTACCATGGCTTCTACTTTTGATTGATTTTGAGTATGGGTGCAGGTTTCGACTCTTGAGGGCAAATGAGGAGAGGCTTGATCAAGGTAGCCAAGTACTATTCATTAACGGAACGTAAAGCAAATTCCAGCCACCGAGAGAGCCATTAATCCACACTGTTAGCTGGCTGAAAGTAAGCAAATTCCTCCATTTCACTCCTGTGGTGTTTCATCTATTTCTTGAAGGAGAGACTTAGATTAATTCCAGTATAACATGACAGCATTTCGTTATATCAGAATACTTGTACCATCCTGGAAATTGTAAAGGAACTGAAGATCGACACATTTTGTTAGTATGATCAATATACTAAACAGCTATCCAAGGCAACCAAAATTGATGAGGAGTTAGGGCAAACTTTTCACTCTATTGGCCCAACATTGAAAAAGGTTTAACTACCTGTACACACCATTTTCCATTGTTTCTTGGAGAATTTGCCCACTTCAAATACTTAATATTCCAGTATTGGCATTCCTAAGGATCAATGCTCGCCTAGGCCCTCTAATGTTGACCCACAGAATCAAGTGTAATACATATGTAAAGAGTATCCTAATTAGCTGACCCTATCTTTCCTTTGATTTAGTTAATACTTTCATTAACCATACATTTACAATAAACCGGACACCCTCAAGCCACAATTCAACCTGTCTTCCATTAAGATTTCACTTGTAAATTAACCAATTGACCCGCAAAATTACACGTCTAAGATACTGGTAAACTGAAACAGAAAAAAAAAAAAAAGTAATTTGAATCGCAAGTATATCGCCTTGAAACAGGGTTGAACACAGCCAAAAACTTATTTCACTAATCAAGAGCCTCCAAAGAGAAATGGAGCATTGCATGTTGTCAACAAAATGAATTTAACAAAAAATGGCAGAGTAATGCTTTAGTGCATTTATTTCAAAATTACATCAAAACTCTAAATATGTTTGGTTTTAGAACCCATGGTATGTAAATGTTTTGCCCTCGCAACCAATAACAATCAGTTGCCAATAAAATGATGGAGAACTATCAGTTAAAAAACAACTGTGAAAATAAGAGAGGACTCTCAAATCTGCGGTTTTGAGAAGAAATTGTTGACAGAAGGCATGATCTGGGGAGCCCTATTACGAACGAACTTTCTGAGAGCATGTTCAGCGTATTTCTCCCCTTCTGCATGGTTTTCAAGAACTCCAGCAGCTCTGTTCTCCTTGGTCACCCTTGATTTCCATAGACACAAAGGTCAGTAACAAATCAAGTACATTTAGATGTTGCATTAGGGGAAGGCCCCGTAAGTATGTTTTAAGTGCATGGATGAAGTATATCCATGATATGGCAAGATGAAGATTCCAATTTACTTTCACAGGCATGCAGCATACTGCAAATAAGCTAAGGATAAAAGATTACATTCAAAATGCACATGTTTTCTGAGAAGAAAATCGCTGCTTTCTGCATTACTCTTATGAACAAACACACAGAGCGAGGTACAAAACCAAACAGGGCAATATAATTCAAACATCATTCATCAGCCACTCGCCCATTTTTGTTACAATAGTGAAAATGATCCTGCTTGCTCAAGGTAAGGAAAAGAGTGCTTAAGCGCAGCAATTACATTGTGATACACAAACATCCAGCAAAAGAGAGAGAAGGGGGGCTTATTTTTTTTGGAGAGGGGGGTGTGTGTGTTCAGAAGAGGGGCTTCGATCTGTGTGTGAATTCTCAGTGAAGCTTTGATAAAATAGAACATGAAGCAAACCCAAAGAAAGCTTTGATTTAGCAAAAGAAAGCCTTCGTGTAGAGTTTTTAACGAAACAAACAACTATCAATAAAATTGCTAGATCTTATCCGGGAAGATCCCCAAAACCTAATGCTAAATCTGGATTTAGCAGTCAAATTTTGATTTCGACAATTTTAGGATATAGGATTTAATTAATATCCATAAGGCCTCCCTGTTTAATTGTTCTTTTGCAAAATGAAATGCCTTCAAGCATACGCGATGTTCTTCTCGCATTTGTAAATGTTATCTCTAAAGCAGTAGACGATAAAGGATACATGAATTTAGATGATAAAAATGAAAAATTGAGGTACTCCATAAAACAGCAGTACACCTAAGCGTGGCAATGGGGCGGGGGACCCCTCCCCCGACAGGGTTAAAAAAATTTTGTTATATAATTTTATTATAATTAAATTTTAGTAAATAATTAAGTATTAAAACATCAATATATCACCAAATTATTATTCATTGTAACTTCACAATTAAAATTTATAAAAATAATTAAATAAAAATTATTTGAATACAATATAATATGATAAAACAAATATAACTAAAATAATTAAGTTTTCACTTTTGATACAAATACAATCACTGAATTATTATTGTGTTTTTTTTTTAGAAAAAATGTTATTGTATTACGTGTAATTAAGAATTTAATATAAATGTATTAATAAATTTAGTATAAATAATTAATAATTTTTATTAATAGACATATATAATTAGTATATCAATTATATTACATATACTAATATATATTAAATAATATATATAACTACTAATATCATTATTATAAATTTATAATTACTTAAATTAAATATTATATATATAATTATGTACATATATATATCTTAATTTTTTTAAACGGGTGACGAGGCGGGTAGTATTTCCCATCCCCGTCCTGTTTCCAAACCGAGGGGATTTTTTGGGGGGGGGGGGGTCGGGGGGGCAGAGAATTCCCGTCCTCCAATAGCTCCCCACGGCCTCCGCCCCTCTTGCCATCCTTAAGTACTTCTAAACTTCTTACAGTTTAGGACACAATTGAACATTTAGCTAAAATTCCAGAAATGATGAAAAATAATAATAAAGACATAATGCACCATCAAAAAATACGTTTGTTTGTCAGAGAGAGGAGGAGAGCGACTGTAGGGTATAATTATGAGTATCATACCGGACTTCCGGGTTGATGCAGATGTTGCGGATCAATTGCGCCCCGCAAATACCGACGGCCACCCCAACTGCTGCGAACAGCGGATATACCTGCAACCACACACACAAATACATATACGTAACATACCGCTCACCCATCATACCAAATCAATCGCCAGATCTAATTATAATACTCCTAACAAATCCATGAGAATCGCCTAAATTGCTATGTACTAGTAAAACAAAAAGATCAAATGGAGAAGCCAAAGATCTAGCGGAGCAAAAAGTTAGAGAGAGAGAGAGAGAGATCGGACCTCGGGCCTAAGCCATCGGTTGACGGTGGATGACGCCATAGGAGACCAGAAAACCGCTGTGTACACCGAAATTTTGCTAACAACTCTGGGTGGAAATACGAACCCACGCATCCACCCCAAAACCAGCTAATATAGGCCTTTGCGGCGGCGCTGACAAGTACGCGCTGTACCTTTTTGTTTTATTTTATTTTGATAGAGTAGAATTGTATTAAAATTAAATTAAAAGTTAATCTTATACACCACATGTCATTAGATGCATAGAGACTAATTTAAATTTGAATTTAAAATTTAAAAAATATACGTGTCATACAGTCAAATCTTTTGCACACTAGTGTTTTTAAATCCAAACCAAAAGCCAAACTGATTATAAGTTTCTAAAAATTGGATGATTTCAGCATAGCATCATAAGTATATTATATTATATACTAATTAAATAACATGAAAAAAACACTTATGTATGTATATAATGTAACTAACATGGAGAAAAAATTACCTATATTTCTGTCACTCTATTTTTTGTTTATCCTTCTTCTTACAATTCTAAAATCCTTAAATTTGACTCCAATTTAATATTTTAAGTTTTAAGCGCAAGTTAACAAGTCTACAACAAAATCATAAAGACGGGCTTGAAAACAAATACCAAATTAAGTTTGCAAAAACAAATAATGAAGAAATGTTTTTGAAATAGTTATGATTATCCAAAACATTTAGTGCTTAGATTTATAAAAGTTCGCTTCAAATCATTCGTCCCCAATTTTGTCTTTGTTGTGTCTATCCCATTTTAGTTTGTTTATGTTAGTTTTTTTGGAGCATACACTAAAAAACAACATCTTAGTGATGCCAAAAAAAAATTTAGAAGAGACTTGTATTGAAAGTAGAAAATGAGCTTAATGTTATTTATTAATCAACTCACTATTTATAGTGATTGCACGAAACAAACTAACAAAATATTCATCTAACTATTATTCTAAAAATCTCAATAAAATATAATCTTCTTTTACTAGCAAATCTGAGCTAAAATATTTGTTAACAAACCAACATGATCTTTAGTTAACAAATATCCTTATTTTTCTAATAACTAAATTATTTTGATATCAAATATAATCTAGCAAAATTTGTAGGAAAAGTTTACATATTTCAACAGTTTAATTGTCACGTGTACTATGCTGATAAATTTATTTTCTAATATAATCTTAAGAGTTATTGATTGTATAACTTATCCACAATAGAATTGTAAAAGTTACAAGACATGACATATGAAATTCGGGACAAACGATTTTAAGTAAAATTCAGTAATGTGTTTGGATTGTAAATTATTACATCTTATTTACACATATTAACTTGATTGCATCATCAACAACTTTTTTTTTTAAATCTTTTTTTATCTCACATATATTATATCAAAATAATATCATAATATATTTTTTCATAAAATCATCTCAAATAATTTACTATCCAAACACACTCACTTATTTGGAAAAAAAAAAAAAGCAAAGGGTGATTGCGTAAATAACGTCAATACGAGTGACACTCAATTGACCAAGTACAAAAAGCAAACAAATCCCCAAACTAAAAATTGGTGGGCAGAGAGAAAATGAGAAATCCCAATCCATCCGAGAGGGGCTAATCTGAAAAACAGACAGCCGCGTGAGTGGGAGTTCTCCGCCGCCGGATGCCACACAATTTTTTTACAATTGCGGAAACAGCTATGAGATAATACCTCAAAGGACCTCTATTATTATATATCTCCAGCTGCTTCTCTTGGAAATTCTTTTATGGCAGCCTCAACAGCTAGGGTTTTCTTAGTCTATCCGGCCACCCACCTCTCCCTCAGGCCTTATCACCACCACCACCACCACCAACAACAACTTCTTCAACGGCTTCAACCCCCTCCTCAACCGCCACCCCCTTCTTCTGCCGACCTCCACCTCCTCATCCGACCGTGGCTTCCGTCCATCCTCCCCTGTAAGCGTAGGGGATTCTCGTCGGCTTCCTCATCCGCCGTCAGCTGCCTAATTTCCGGAGTGGACGGCGGTGGAGTCTCTGACGATTTCGTCTCCACTAGGAAGTCTGGATTCAGCCGCGAATTCTCCGTTATCGCCAACATGCTCAAGCGAATTGAGCCACTCGACGCCTCCGTCATCTCCAAAGGTGTATCCGACTCCGCTAAGGACTCGATGAAGCAGACCATTTCTAGTATGCTGGGCCTGCTCCCATCCGATCAATTTTCCGTCACCGTCTGGTTTCCCAAACGCCCTCTCGACCGCCTTATCGTTTCCTCCATAATTACCGGGTAATTGCTTTAATCTTCGCTCTCTAATTGATTACAAATACTTTTTGTTTCCAAAGCTGAACTTTGAACCGCTTAGTGATTCCATTGGGCGGCGAAATGTTAATTCAAATTGGCTGGTCCAAATTATTCAGGTATACTTTGTGGAATGCGGAGTATCGGATTTCGTTGATGAGAAATTTTGACATAACTTTGGATATCTCCAAAGATTATCAACATTTGGAGGTGAATGGGGTTTCAGAGCTGAAGGGAAAACAGAGTGAAGGAACGGAAGGTATAGCTAGAGTGGACGGTTGTGCGGAAGTTTTGGATAGAAAACAGGGGGATAGCCTCGGAAATTTGTCTCCTGAAGTTGTGGAATACATTCAACAATTGGAGTCAGAGCTGTCTAGTGTTAAACAGGTGATGGGTTTTTCATTTTTCTCTCCTTTTAATACAATCATTTCACGAGTTTTGATTGCAGTCATCATGGAAATTACATATACACAGTCCACCGGTTTGTTGTTTGAGGGAAATTTGAGTGCTTCGTATGTCATTGTTAGATTATTGGGAGTTTCGAATTATATGATTCGTGATGTTCTTGGAGTTTACAGCAGCATGAGCTTGTAATGGAACTTAATTTGACATAGTAGCACTTATTCTCTTAGGTAATGACTCATCCTCATATTGGCCATTTAGATGTTTGAAGCTCTTTGAACAGCTGAAATTATATTCTTTAAAGTTGGAATGATGGTTTTACCTTCAGGTAGTTGTTTTTTTTTTCTTGGAATATGATAAAATTCGGAGAAAGTCGAGTCGTGTTATTTGAAATAGTAACTGTAATTTGTTTTGTTGATTAAATTTTCTGTGCTGTCTCAGGAACTTCATGCCCGTAAACAGGAAAATTTGCAAATGGAGTACGTCAAAAGGAGCAATAATGATCTATTAGAGTACTTGAGGTCTTTGGATTCTGATATGGTAATTAACTTATCAGCTGGCCAATTGTATTTGCAATCCGTCCTTACCACTGCACTCTTGTGATGGTCGCTGTTGCTAATGCGTAGTCATATTTTGGCTGGACAGGTTGCTGAATTGTCAAGACCTTCATCTTGGGAAGTGGAAGATTTCATTCACCAACTTGCACAAAATATATTGCAAAGATTTTTCAAAGATGAGATTACTTCCAATGCTGGAGGGGATTTTAGTCTAGCAAGTATAGAAAATTATGATAATGGCAATGAATGTTCTGATACAATTGGCACTTCGCGGGATTACTTGGCTAAGCTTCTTTTCTGGTAAGTTTTTTCTGGTTTTTCTTCTTTCTAGTGACTTGAGCGTTTTGTGGTTTACTGAGTAGTCTTAACAGGAAAAGCGTGCTAGTTACCTGAAATATAGATTCACAGTAAACATTCCTTTGCAATGGCAGGTGCATGTTGCTGGGACATCATTTAAGAGGGTTGGAGAATAGACTGCATCTAAGTTGTGTTGTCGGTTTGTTGTAAGTAGGAGGGAATGTACATTCTGGTTGGAGAATAGACTGCATCTAATCTAAGTTGTGCTGTCGGCTTCTTGTAAGTAGGAGGGAATGTACATTCTTCTTTTTTCTACTTCCTCTTTGTCAAATTTTGTGTGATCTTTTATATCATTTTGTATCAGCGGAAACAAGTTACGTAGTGTCATGTGTAAGTTCATATGGATATCTATTACCTTGTATGTAAAAGAATTGCAGCGAAGCTGGTGCTAAGGTCTCAACATTTCTATTTTCCCTGGCTACGGATATGAAGTCATTCGTTTGAAATTTGAGTTGATAAATACGATAATTTATGTGCTTTGGAATTGGGAACTCTCACTTCCATTTGTCCTTGGCATCTTTGTTGGCATTTGATAACCAATTTGTTAGAATTTAGAGCACAAATTAAGAAATAGCACTAGTAGTTAATGCTGCAAAAAAATGGTTTGTTATAAAATCTTATATTGACGGACTGAGAAAACTTTGAATTTTTCATTTACGAGGTCTCTATTTATAAAATATACAAGAAAGAAACAGTCATCGTGCTCGAATCAAAGAATTCTTTATTGTCCAAAAGACCAAAATTCACTGTATTGAAGTACATCTCGGTTGGTTCCGTCTACCATTTTGGCTCGCTTAACGGGCAAACAAAAGGACTGCTCTGCATCGAAAATTTCTCATACAGGGAAGCCAACAAATCTATTCGCTGATGTATCCAAATACCATCAGATTGCCCAGTATTATATATACAAAAGAATTGTCGAATATGAATGTATCAAGGGACAAAGTAACAAATGAACCAATAGAAAATGAAAAAAAAAAAAAGAAAAAAGAGAAAGAACTAAAAAATTTGCATCAGGTCACCACCGTGCGCGGCGGCCGTTGTGGCCACGTTGCCTATACAAATCATGGGGTTCCCATAGATGATCTACAGGACATGGCCTTCTTTCGTCAAGCCTCACCCATGGCTTTCCCTTTCCGCTCCAATGCAGCAAACTAACCGGACCAGGGTGCAATGACCTACAACTGTTTACCACATTGTCCCCGCCAAGGCCGTGTTGATTCCATCTGTCATCAATCGCGTGAACCTCTCCGCCGAAAACCAGCAAGAAAGGTGGTAACGAACCCAACTCGTATATCCGCGTCTCCCTCTGTATCTCCATCCATTTCTCAATCTTCCCAGTAAAGTCTCCCCTCCGCCACTTGTCTAAATCCATGATCATCACCCCTGTATTGAAATAACACGGTTTCTTTCCTCGGAAAGTCTTTGAAAAATCTGGTCGAACCCAGAACTGATTGGTGAAATATTTGGTGAAGTTGGCATGACAGTACTGAGGAGCACCAATTACTGTAGAACCGGTCAGAGCTGTTGACCACAGTTTCTGGATGTCATCGACGACGATGATGTCAGAATCCAGGTAAATCACTCGGGATACACATGGGTCGATGATTTCAGCCAAGTAGCTTCTTGCGTAGTTTAAGGGGTTATCCAGAGCTTGACGAATGGAAGAGGATATCAAATTCTTAACACGGTCGGAAGAGTTGAAAGGATAAACCTTGAAAGCCAGGGACGGAAAGATGGATCTTAGGATTGTAGCGAATTCGTCAGGCGTAGGTGAAGAGCCGGCGGCACTGGAAGCTGGATCTGCGACGAAGTGAAAGAAAATGTTTTCCGGGCAAGAAGCATGCCTGAGTATGGAGTTAACTGCTGCCACGGAACCTCTAAAGTAGACAGAATCAAGCGTCATGGCCACGTGAACGAGGAAAGGACGACAAACACCCATTTCCCCCGAGTCTCTCGGAGCTGAGATTTGACACTGGTCTCCATTCCTATACACGGGTGCTTCACGGTATCCCGGCGAAGGGTTGGCATCTAGTTTTGTGGGGAACGATCGGCTGGCAAGCGTTGGTAAAAGCAGCAGCGAAACTAGCACAAAAGAGGAAATGAATCTGCAACGGACCATGCCAGCTAGATGGATGCTCTTGCTCTGTGGTCTGTTCTCGACTCGTTGTGAAGATGGTAATTGGTCTCTGGACTCTGCGCTACCCAAAAAGGTTAAAAAGCATAAAAACAGAAACGCGTATTAGTAGTAGGAGTGGAGTCAGTGCCAGCACATGTTTCTTGTTGACAAGGAAGATACTTCTACTACCCTACTATGAATTTGAAAATGAACAGAAACGCGTTGCCGAGTTTGATTTGATGATGAAGAGGCTGAGTTTTTGTACCAATAACAATAATAAGAATATATATATATATATATATATATATATATGTATTGAATCTTCAAAGTTGCAGCTGCTTTGGTTGGCTTCTTCCATTTTAGGAACCTGAAGGAATGTTGGTTAGTTCACGCATTTTAATTAATTACGCACGTGCTCTGATTCTCCGCTAAAAGTTTTCTTTCTTCCTTTTGTTTACTTGAAGAAATTTTAAAATATTTTGAAAAACAAAAACCAAAAAAAAAAAACCCGAAAAAGATATATATATATATATATATATTTTTTTTTAAAAAAAAGGAAGCAGAGAAGAAGAAGCATGTCTGCCCACCTTCGACCGTGCTTCCGACCAAACACACACACACACGCACACTTGGGAGGTTTGACCGTTTAATCACTTGTATTGTAAGACCAATGATTATAGGAGTAAGTACATGGCAAGATAAACTATTATTATTATTGTGTCCTGAATTTGACTTGAACTCTTCAAAACATTAGAGTTGAATGCTTCTTTTTTTTTTTTTTTTACCAACTTATATGCTTCAAGTAAATGAGAAAAGATTTTTGTAACAGAACCAGAAAAAAGCATGCTTTGAATTTTAAAACACACACACATTTTTTTGGTAACAAATGATGCCCTGGCTTTAATTAATTATGTGAGAGTCCTGGAGGAGGGACGGAGCCGTTAGCCGCTCAAAACACTTTGAGATCCTCGGTGACATGTTTTCTATGACAATCCAATGCCACCAATAGTATTGTGCCAAGTGTCATGTTATTATTTACCCTTGTGTTAAATCAAGCCAAATTAAATTATTAGAACCCAGCTGTTGGGTAGAAATTAACTAATGCCCATGGGACTTGGTGCTCCATTAGTCTTGTTTGATAATTCAGTTAATCACTTAAAAAACTCAATGAGTTTATATTTTGACGTCTTTAAATCTGTTCAATAACATAAAATAAAACATATAAATTAATTAAGTGACACTTAATTTTCTAAGCAAAACTTATTTCAAAAAATAAGTGATAAACTATTCATTAGTTTAACGGATCTAGATTTTAATTCTCAGATGCACGCTTAAATTCATTCATAAGTCTTAGGTTCCGTTTGATAAAACTGAATCTGAATACTGAAACAATTTATTTGCTGAATTTTAAGTATTGAAAAGAAATATATGGATGTCTGAATTTTAATGTTAAACCTATTTATACTGTTTGATAAGCATTTATAACTGAATGCTTAATAAGTTTAATTTGACAAATTTGCCCTTACATCTTTTCATCAAAAAAAGAAATAGAACTTATGATTTAATTAGCTAAATATGTTAGGTATGAAAATGACAATATTTACTTTTAAATCAAATTAATATAAAAGACGAAATATATTATATGAGGAGTATGGAGAAGATGTAAAAATCATTCAAAAGGAAGAAAAAAGAAATAGAAAACTATTAGATAGAGAATATTAGATTGTTTAATTAGATAAGAATTTTGAACATAATTAACAAACAAGGATAGATTTGATAGATAAAATAAGGTAATTGAAATAATTCTTTTTATTCCTATCAGAATTAAGCATTCAATTAAGATTCTTGTGCTGAAAAAAATGCACACAAATTCAGCACTACTTAATAAATTCAGCAAATAAATTTTCATTTATTAAACACTCAAAACATCTGAATGTCTGAAAAAATTTAGATTCAATACCTTTTTATGTTATCAAACAAACCCTTAAACAACATTCGCCAGTACAAAACCCACGTGCATAATGTTCTTCTTCCTTTTTTTTTTTTTTTTCGAGCCAGGGGCAAGGGGGAAGAGGGGGGGGGGGGGATTGGGTTTACATATTAAAAATTGTTACGGTTGTTATTACCTTCAAAAAATTTGTCATTTCCTTGTGGTAACTCATTGTGGATCTAAATTCATGAAAGTAACCACCGAGGTATCATCTGCAACAGGAATATTTTATAACTCCCAACAAATCCTTAGACAATTTTGTCAGTGTCGTAATAGAACTTCCATTACAAAACTTTAAACCTCCTGTTTCATCACTGTTTCTTACATAAGGCCAACACAGTGACAGAATAACAACTGCCAGAAAAATTGTTCCAGATATAATAGGGACTAGACTACTACACCCAGAACCAGAACCAGAACCAGAACCAGAACCAGGTAGGTAAACTGTAAAATATAACAATGACAGACAGCAGGTCTCTTATGCACCCCCTTTCTGAGAAGAAAAAAATGCAAATACAGGTGAAATAAACACAGGATCTACACATTCAAGAACATGGGTTAAAACCCCCTATGTACAAACTACGGCTCACAAGCCCATCATACTCTTCCTTCACTGCCCTCAAAATGTTATTCAGCAGGTTGGAATAAGAAATTACAAACGGACGACTGCTTTACTTGAGTCTTTGCCCGGACACCATTCGCCAGCCAAGTTCTACAAAACAAAATATGAAATGTTAAAGAGAGATATGAATGTCCACAAAAGCCTTTCAAAAAAAAAACATGCAGCTACGGATAAGCATTTGCTAACACAGTGTATCTAGTTCTCGAGGTGGGGTATGAGAGGGCGAGCAACTATTGCAAAACCTTCCAACATTTTAACACCTCTCCAGAGACAATGCATACCTTCGAACACAACGCTATCAGGAGGACGGCAGATAATAATAATAGTATTACAACGATGCCGCCAAAAATTGGTTGAAACGTTTTACTCTTGGCTCATCTGATTTGCTCCCAGATACGTTTCTTCTTTTCCTTCCCAATCGGAAAAAGAAATCCTCTGTGTCGAGAACATATGAGATCTGCAACAAGCTCCATAATTAGAGAGCTACAATGTGATGAAAGAACAATCATCATCCAGCAACACTTTGGAGATGGTATGATTGGATTCTAATTCTACACGCAAAGAAGTGAATAGTGGTAACTGTCCGGTTCATCTCTCACTTCCCAAAGATTACGTCCTTGGAACCAATTACTATGCCAGATCTACATTACAATAACTCCTATACCAAGAAGTCGGACTGGTCTTGCAAAAGAATGTTGGAGAAAACCCTTCCAACTTAAAAACCAACATTCATCATAATAAATAAAAATTGCTAAAAGGTTTTACACTTCTAGAAGCTTTTATATGATTGCCAAGGAGGACATTACATGAGAAAATCCTTTCAAGGATATTTATGAAGCCAAATGAAGATCCTACAAGATTATACTTCCTTGAACTACCAAAAAGCCACCAATACAAAACCACAGATTCACAAAAGCATACCTTTGACGAGTTGGAAGACATCTTACACTCCAAGCCATTCCACACTCGGACAGTTTCCATGGCCTTGCAAAAAGCAGAGTCCTCATCAATCTCAGCAAATTTACGCTTATTCCTGCACAGATCAAGGAAAATGAAACATATCAGATTGTCTAGTTAATTCATTCAAGCCAATGCCATATAATCCAGTCAAATCCAAAAATTTTCAAATTCAATAACTTTTCCTGAGAGCCAAAAAAAAAAAAAACAGAGAGAGAGAGAGAGAAATCATATGACCAAGCAGTCCCAAACTTCCCACACTCACTCCCCTGCTGAAGTGATCAGTGCTAAAATTATTTGCTAAGTCTCATAAATTGGAAATAGTTCCAATACCTCTTGAGCATAACAGCAGATGACTCCTTTTTTCCCTGGCCAACTGACAGATAATCATTGTACAGATAGGCTGCAAAATTTGGATCTATGGAAACGGCAACCACCTCAGACTTCTCATTTCCATCATCCATCAGTTGGATGGACAAACGGGTTGGAGAAGATGTCTAAAATAGCACGGAAACAACTCATAATTCACTTGTATTAATCCAAAAGAATATTACTAAAAGCAAATAACATTTGGGAAAGAAAGAAAAGAAGGCAATCGAAGACCTACACATTCAAACCGATAAATATTCTCCTCATACAAAAGGACATGCGAATTCTCATAATACACTGAATCAACAAATTTTTCTGGTTTCCGAGACTTTTCATACTCATACAGCTGAAGCAGCTTGTTGTCCAATTCATCACTTGAAACAGTCTGAAGCTGCAGAAAAACATTAAAAGTCAGAATCCCTTGACAAGACAAAAAAGCTTTAAAGGATAAAGATTTTACAGATTTATGGGAAATTACCTGCTTGACCAACTTATACATTAACTTGTCCAAGGTAAATAACACATATGATTGGTTCCCAATTATTGACCGGCAATCATCCTCAAACTTAGCATTGTCAGCAGATCCATCAAGCAAACTATATAACGCACTCATAAATCTGCATTAAACAAAATTGTCATTGAATAAATGTTAGATGCCACAACTGTGTGAAAAAGAGTAGCATGCTGCTAAACCACCTGGCATACGGATCAGTATCAGTATCCTTTGAATTTCTCCATTTCAGTTCAGATGATGTAGAGTTCTGCTTAGCTGATAATAATCTTTCATACAGTACCTGGTAACAAATTAAGAAGATAATAATATGTTACCAGAAGGCGGAAAAATCATCTATCCTTTAGCAAAGAAGAGACCAGGGTTAATGGGAACTATTATTCCCCTTTCCTACGCGCCATGGAGGAAGGAATCCATGTTCAGAATAGTGTTGTTTTATTAGAGAGTTCATAAAACGCTCTTGAACAGAAAGCAGGCCTCAGAAATCATGGAATTGGGAAAAAATTGTACCTCTCTCTCTTTACGGTTCAAGATCTCCCACTCAAAGGCCAGTTTTCCTAGTCTCCATTCTCTCTCTCTCTCTCTCTCTCTCTCTCTCTCTCTCTCTCTCTCTCTCTCTCTCCCCAAAAGAAGCAGGGAAACTCAAACATCTATGATGACACAGTGAACAGATCACCCAATCTGAGAACAAGACAATAAAACAATAAAGAGAACTATAACTTACTTGATGAAGCCGAAAAAGCACGTAGAAAGTATCATTTCCATAAAAGATCCGTGAATTCGCC